AGACCCAAAATGTCAGCTTTCCTGTTCCTCTGATGCTGCTTGGCCTGCTGTGTTCATCCAGCTCTACACCTTGTTATCACAGGTAAATAGGATTCGTGTACAGTCGGCTCTGCTATAACGCGATAGTTGGTGTTCCTGCGCAGCATCGTGTTATAAAAAATCACGCTATAGAAATAACAGGGCCTATGGGAAAAGCGGGGTTAGGGTCAGACCGCCAAAACATATCATTCAAAATTGCTCAAAAATCACTCAAAAGCCTTACACAAAGGATATCACTGTTTGAATAAATGTTTAAGTCATATCTAATAATGAAATAAAAGTATATTTAATGCCTTACCTGAAAAAATGTCAAAATGACTTGATGGGGGAGGAGGTTTTGAGGTTGCTGTGTTGTTAATGCAGGGTCTGAGGGTCGTTGTCGTCGTCGTCGTCATCATCATCATTGTCGTCGTCGTCGTCGTCATCGTCATCATCATCATCATCACCACCTTCAGGTGCAGTTGTGGTTGCAGAGTTAGGGCGAAAAATAGTTAACCCAGAAATGGATGGCTGTGGTTCATTGTCTTCTGACTGTTTCTTGGGGGGTTCGCTTAAAAAGGACACCCAGTTTTTGTTGCTTTGCTCTTTTTCTTCTTTCATGAAGAAGCTGTTGATAGGGTGCCAAATAAGATCTTATTCCATGGACTGCTGCCTTGCAGCATTCTGCATTGTAATCGTTGACCTGTAACAGCTGCGGTTGCTTCTCAATTTCCCTCAGGATAGAAGACCAAACAGAAGTGGAAAGTTCTCATGGTGCTGCATCCTGGATGCCGACATCTTCATCTCCAGCTTCCACTTCCCCCTCAGCAACAAGTTGCTGCAGATCAGCTGTAGAGAGGTCTTCACAGTGGGAGTCAAGCAGCTCTTCAACATCCTTACTCTCGACTTCTTCAAATCCAACTTGCTTTGCAAGATAAACACAATGTTCTTTGATTCTTGCAAGCTCCTCTCTCTGATCAAAGCCTTTAAAATCTTGAAAAAAATTTGGGAAAAGCTTCTGCCAAACTGCATGCAAGCAGTGCTTACTGACATCACCTAGGGCTCCACGATAATGTCAATTGCATTCTTGATGTTAAAGCTCTTCCAAAATTGAAGAACACTGTTCTTATCGCCCTCGGTGGCTGTAATCAGCCTCTTAAATTTGCGCCTTAAATAATAAGCTTTAAAAGCTGCTATTGCACCCTGATCCATGTGTTGAAGGAGAGAGGTTGTGTTTGGGGTAGAAATAGTACTTTGATGTTTTCAGAAAGCTCACCAATGGTGGGAGGATGGCTTGGCACGTTATTCAGGATGAGGAGAATCTTGAAATCCAAATTTTTTTTTTCCCTACGATACTTTCTAAAAACATCTTCCAAACCATCAACAATAAGGTCAGAAAAAATTTGCCCTGTCATCCAACCTCTTTTTTGCTTGACCGAAAGTAGATGCCTAAAGTAGATTTTAAGGCTCATGGGTTGGCAGAGTGGTACACCACCACCAGGCTTAAGCTTTAAGTCTCCACAGGCATTGATACCGAACAGCACAGTCATACGACCCTTTGCCAGCTTAAAGCCTGGAATGTGTGCTTCATTCATAGAAATGTAAGTTCTTGATTGCGTTTGCTTTCAGAATAAACCTGTCTCATCCAAATTGAAAATTTGACCTAAGTTGTGGCCTTCTTTGTCAATTAATTTTTTAGCTATGGGAGGAAATGCCATTACATGCTCCTCGTCTGCACTGGCAGCTTTGCCACATAACTTTATGTTATGAAAAACATTGTGGTTCTTAAAACCAGCAAATCAGCCACTGCTAGCAGTAAAGGCAGGCACATCTGCAGGATTTTCAGCTTTTTTTGTTAGATCTTCATAAATTGATAAGGCTTTGTCTTTTATGGTGAGAAAAGTGGTCCCAGATGTATTTTTTTTTGATCTTCTATCCACACACTTGGAAGCTGCTCCATCTTCTCATGTTCCTTTGTCCGTGAACTCTCAGATTTGCTAGCACTGAGATTTGTTCCAGCAAGACAGCTTGCTTTAATCTTTTCTGCATTGTCTTTAATGGCGCGTAAGGTAGACTCGTTTATTCTGGTTATGTGAGCTATAGCACATGTTCTCTCATTACACTCAAAATGCTTTATGACGTCTAGCTTCTCTTCCAGTGTTAAAGCCTTTCTTTTATGTTCACCACCCGCAATTTTATCACCAGGATGCTTCTTGCTAGCATTCTTTTCACTTTGTCCTCGCACTTTTGTGGGTAACATGGCAGAATTTGCAAACAAACACAAAAATCATGGAGTCCTGTACCTCTCATGAAATTACTTCACAACAGAGTTTGCAAAATGATCAGGTGTCGCTGGCGCAGAGACTCTTTTGGCGCTAACATTGCGTGTATTCAGGACAAAGCCTGTGAAACGATCATGTGATGCCGACGCGGAGACTCTTTCAGCGCTAACATTGTGCGTGCTCAGGAGAATGCCTGTGAAATGATAATGTGATGTCGATGTGTACTCATCCACGCACCAATGGAATTGTGTTATAACCAATATAAGTTGGCATTTTAGAAATAGTGTTCCCCTATTTGTCAGTCACATTATAGCCAATTCGCATTGCTAGAACACGTGTTATTGCAGAACTAACTGTGGTTTGATGTTTATTGGTCAGCATACATATGATGGACCAAAGGGCCTGTTTCTATGCTGTATAACTCTATGAATGTAAGTGGTAAAATGTAACTATCTTCACAATTATGAATAACACCCTTGAGATAAGATAGCAGGTAGGAGAGCCACCGTGATTACAACACTTCACATGGTTAATGAAAATATGAAAGGGAAGTCTGTAGAAATGATATAGTTTTGTTTCTTGATACGGATATGTATTGCAAATGCAATGATAGTAAAAACATTAGCTATAAATTGTCATTCTTTGTTTTGAAGAGAGAACTTTGTGGATTTCCACTAAGTGTGCCTACAACCACGTCCTTGAGTAAAATCTGTATTAACTGTATCAAAGACTAAAAAGTGGCTAATTTAAAATCACCAGAACAGATATTTATCTTAACTGTGACTTATGGAAGCAAACTATTAGGTTGTCTGTGAAAACCTAATTGATGATATAGCTAATATTGAATTTGAGGTACTTTTGTGACCTCAAACCTTTGATTTCTGAGAGTGACCAAAGACCATGCTTTGGATTATTGGAATTTTACTGAAGCTTGATATCAGAAACACATGCTAGTGTGAAATGAATTGCACCAGGTTCAGGTACGTTCATTATAGGAAAGGAACTCTAGCTAAATACTAGAGCCATGAGTATCCACATTCAGTCAACTTACACTGCTTATGGAGTTACATTTCTAACACTGCTTTGTTTTCCTGTCAGATTGAGAATGCTGGTGATGTTTTAATCAGTCCATTGGAAAGATTTCGGAAAGAGCAGATTGGAGCTGCAAAGGTAGTGTGCATCATTTTCTTTGTCCCTTCCTTCCTGCTCCCTACCACCTTATTTTGTCACATGAAATAAATTATTTTATTTATATATGTTCACAAAGAAGATAGTTGATGCCTGTTAGTAATTGTGACATAAAGGTCTGATTCTGAGACACAGAATCTGACCAGCTGCTCAGTTTTGTTGTTTTTGTTTCAAGTTGGGTGTTAGATCCTGAAACTTTGCCAATTTCTTATCAATGTTCCAGGTGAGAAGAAGAACTCGTGCAAAAAAAATACTTCCATGTCAGTTTAAACTGCACTTTCAAACAATTTGCTTAGCTTTTGTTGAAACACTTGTTGGAATGCAGGCATCAGTTTGCTTGATCACACCTTGTCCACACCTTTTGATTCCTTTGTACCTTCATATATCTCATTCCTGCCATTCCTCCTTGTACGGCCCTGATCACTGCTTCCTCAAGTTAGAAGAATGCAGAGATGCACTGAACCTAGCCTCAGATATTGACAAGGTCTCTCTTAATGACAAATTCATCATGCTTTATGTAATTTAGAACCTCTGTAAATAAAGATGTTTCTCCGGGTCTCTGTTAAATCTTACAGTTACGATATCTTGTTCTGGTTTGCACCGGAGACAATTCAGTTTTCTGTGCCATGGGCATCTATTCATAGTTTAAACCGTTCTATCAAATCCACTCGTGCTACCCTCCTTTACTGACAAAAGAATGAACTGAATATTCTCGCTTGGCTACCTAAAGGTAATTTATTGGTAAATTAAGATGTTTCATTCACTACTATTTTTCTTCTGCATAGGAAGCAAAGAAAAAATATGATAAGGAAACAGAAAAGTATTGCAATTTGCTGGAAAAACATTTAAATTTGTCATCGAAGAAAAAAGATTCTCATCTTCAAGAGGTAATTATTTGACCCCTGCATTTTACTGATTTTAAATCCAGAATCTTGTCATAGTTTTGAATTTCATCAGCCTGATTTAATACTGTAATTGACTATCTTCTATCCATTTTTTAAATTTGGAAATTAAATGTGCTAGATCTAATGAATCTTGCAACATTATTGGCCAATTCTGTACTTGGTAGGACAGCCCTAATGCAAGTAAACAATTCATATTAAGTCGTTCTAGTGCACAAACATGTAAATATCATGCGCAAGTGTGCCATTGACCAATACAGAACATCTGTAGATGACAGAATAAAGTGGATTTCTTTCAAGGTTTGGGTCATTCTTTGAATATATTATTTTCATAATTTTAAAGGCCTTAGGCATATGCCGTCGAAGTCTACGCTTGTCCAGAGCAGTAAGCTCTAGTTTCCAAAACTTTGTCCTGAAATAGAAGGGTTTTTGAAACAAGTATAAATTGTGACCCTACCCTGGAGCTTTTTCTCTTCCTCAATACCTCCTACCACGAGAGGGAAGGGAATCTTATCACCATGGGCTCATTATTCTAAATACAGCTAAACCAAAGCCTTGTACAAGGTAAGATTGTGTTTTTAGTTCTATATTTAATTATAGGTATCTAAATACCCATCACTTTATTCAATTTTGGAAGAAACCCTTGACCAATTTCTCTTTCCGGCTTAGTAGTCTCAAACCTGCATTGTGTACATAGCTTAATGACTGGAATGAAGCAGGCCAAGTGATTGAAGTATCAGTAGGGGAGCATTTTGTAAACCGTAATTGTCATTCTGTTACATTCAATTTTATTATGGCAAAGGACAAGAATGGGCCTGAAATCAGAGTTCTCAACTATGGGAAAAGTGATTTTTAAATAAGATTTGGCTAGAATAAACTAGGAGCAGAAACTTTTAGGTAAATATGTGTCAGAGAAGTGTGACACATTCAAGAAGGGAATGGGGAGAATACAGGCCAACATGTTCCAATAAAGACAAAGGATGGGACCAACAAGTCTTGTGAACCCTGGATATCAAGAGATATGCAGGATTGGATAAAGAGAAAAAGGGAATCTTATGGCAGATATTGAGAGTTCAAAACAAAAGAAACCCTAGAGAAGCACAGAATGTGCAAGGGGGAGTTCGAAGAGGAAGAAGGGGGCAAGAAAGAATAGATAAAAGAAAGGAAAGTCTGATGTTATTTTACAAGTACATTAAGGTTTAAACAATAGCCAGGTGAGGAGTAGGGCCCATAAAGGACCGCAGTGATAATTCATGGGTGGTACCGGAGGACGTAAATAAGATTCTAAATGAATAGTTTGTGTCAGGTTAATGAATGAGTGGGATGATTTTGGTATAGAAATCAAAGAGAAGGACTGTGATATACTTGAAGAAATTAGCATAGACAGAGAAGAGGTTCTGAGTGGCCTGGCGGGCTTAAAGGTAGACAAATCTCCAGGCCAGAAGAAATGTATCCCATGCCGTTGAGAGAATTCAGGGAGGAATAGCAAGGGCACTGGCAATAATTTTCAATTTCTCTCTGGTTATAGGGCAGGTCCCAGATGATTGGAGGATAGTTAATGTGGTACTGCTATTCAAAAAGAGAGCAAGGGATTATCCAGGAAATTACAGACCAGTCAGTCTAACATCTGTGACAGGGAAACTATTGGAAGCAATTCTGATGGACAGAATTAATTTGCATTTACAGTGGCAGAGATTAAACAAGAATAGTCAGTTTTGTTGAGGGGTGGTCATGTCTGACCAACTTAATCAAGTTTTTCGAAGAGTTAAGCTGGTGTGTAGATAAGGACAATGCATTTGACGTAGTCTATTTGGACTTCAGCAAGGCTTTTGAAAAGGTCCTGCATTGGAGACTGATATCTCAGCCTGTGGAATCTAAAGAAATTTTGCAAATTGGATCCAGAATTGGCTACATGGTAGGAAGCAGGAGGTGATGGTCAAGAGGTGTTTTGTCACAGGAAGCTTGTGTCCAGTGGGATTCTGCAAGGATCAGTGTTTAGGGCCCTTGCTGTTTGTGCTATACATAAATGATTTGGCCTTGAATTTAGGAGTGCTGATCTGTAAGTTCACAGATAATACAAAAATTGGTCAGGTGGTAAATAGTGAGGAGGATGGCCTTAGATTACATGAACATAAACAGGCAGCGACCAGTGAGGTACAGCAGGGAATAAGACGTCAGCTAATTATAAAATATGTTAACGATTTAGATGAGGGAACTAAATGCCATATCTCAAAATTTGCACATGACATAAAGCATAGTTGGAAGACTTAGCTGAGAGCAAAATGTAGAGATGTTGTAATGTGATTTGGAAGGCTGAGTGAGAGGGCAAAAGAATGGCAGATGCAGTATAATAAACTTTGGTAGCCAAAACATGAAGACAGATTATTATTTGAATGTCTACACATTGAGAGACCTGGGTATTCCTGTGTACCAGTCACTGAAAGTAAACGCAGAGGTGCAGCAGGCAGTAAAGAAGGCAAATGGAATGTTGGCCCTTGTAGCAAAAGGAATCAAGTACAGGAATAAGGATATCATGCTGCAGTGGCCAAGTGGTATTATCACTAGTCTATTAATCCAGAGGCCCAGCTGATCTCCTGGGTTCAAATCCCGCTATGGCAGATGGTGGAATTTGAATTCAATAAAAATCTTGGATTGAGTGTCAAATGATGAACATAAAACTGTTGCTGATTGTCAGAAAGCACATTAGTGAACTCAATGTCCTTTTGGGAAGGAAATCTTCAAACCTTACCTGATCTCGCTTGCATGTGAATCCAGACCCACAACAATGTGGTTGACTCTCAACTGCACGATGAGCAATAAATACTGGCCTGGCCAGCAATGCTTACGTCCAGTGAATGAATATATAATAAAACTACACAATGCAAAATGTTGAGGCCGCACCTGGAACATTGTGTGCCGTTTTGGTCTCCTTATCTGAGAAAAATGTTCTTGGTGTTGAAGGAATGCAGCAAAGGTTTATTAAATTGATTCCTGGGATGGTAGGGCTGACGTATGGAGAGAGATTGCATTTGTTAGGATCGTATTCACTGGAGTTTAGAAGAATGAAAGGGGCTATCTCAGAAACCTAAAAACTTCTGACAGGACTAAGGATAATCCAAAGAGATCCACAAGTACGTTAAGAGCAAGAGAACAACTGAAGAAAGAGTAGGGCCCCTTAAAGATCAAAGAGGTCATCTTTGTGTCGAACTTCGGAAGATGGGAGACATATTAAATGAATATTTTGCATCAGTTTTTACTGTGGAGAAAAATGGAGGCTAGAGAACTTGGGGAAATAAATGTTGATGTTTTGAAAACATCACATTACAGAAGATGTGCTGGAGGTCTTAGAAAATATAAAGGTAGATAAATCTCCAGGACCTGATTGAATATATTCAGAGACTTTGTAGGAAGTTAGGGAGGAAATTGTGGGGCCAAGTGCAGAATATTTGTATCGTCTATAAATACGGTGAGGTGCCGAATGACTGGGGAGTGGCTAATGCTGTGCCTTTGTTTACGAAGGGATGTAAGGAGAAGCCTGGGAATAATTGGCCTTGTAAGTCTGACTTTGCTTGTAGGTAAGTTGTTGAGAATGATTCTGAAAGATAGGATTTATTGGCATTTGGAGAGGCAAGGAATGATCAGGGATAGTCAGCATGGTTTTGTGAGTGGGAAATCATGTCTCACAACCTTGATTGAGTTTTTTGAGGAAGTAACCAAGAAGATTGACGAGGGTAGAGCGGTAGACATTGATTACTTGGACTTTAGTAAAGCCTTTGACCAGGTTCCATAAGATAGACTAAATAGTAAAGTTAGATCACGTGGGATTCGGGGTGAGCTTGCCAATTAGATACAAAATTGTCTTAATGACAGGAGATAGAAAGTGAAGGTGGAGGGTTGTTTCTTGAACTGGAGACCTTTGACCGGTGGTGTTTCACAGGGATCGGTGCTGGATCCATTTTTAATGGTCATTTATATAAACGATTTAGATGAGAATATAGAAAGCATGGTTAGTAAGTTTGAAGATGACACCAAGATTGGTAGTATAGTGAACAGTGAAGAAGGTTATCTATGATTACAAAGAGATCTTCATCAATTGGGTCAATAGGCTGAAGAGTGCCAAGTGGAGTTTAATTTGGATAAATGTGAGGTGTTACATTTTGGTAAAACAAACAAAGACAAGACTTATACAATTAAAAGTAGGGCCTTGGACAGTGTTGTAGAACAGAGAGACCTAGGGGTTGAAGTATGTAATTGTTTGAAGTTTGTGTCCCATGTAGATAAGATGGTTAAGAAGGCATTTAGCATGCTTGCCTTCATTGCTAAGACCTTGAAGACAGGAGTTGGGACATTATGTTGAGGTTGTATAGGATGTTGGTGAGGTGTCTTCTGGAGTACTGTGTCCAGTTCTGGTCACCCTTTTTATAGGAAGGATATTATTCAGCTGGAGAGGGTTCAGAAAAGATTTACCAGGATGTTATCAGGAATGGAGAGTTTGAGTTATAAAGAGAGGCTGAATAGGCTGGGACACTTTTTTAACTGGGGTATAGGAGGTTTAGAGGTGACTTTATAGAGATTTATAAAATAATGAGGGGTATAAATAAGGTGAATGGCAGGTGTCTGTTCCCTAAGGTGGGGTATTTCAAGACTTGGAGGCATATTTTTAAGGTGAGAGGAGAAAGATTTAAAAAAGACATAGGAGGCAATTTTTTTATGCAGAGAGTGGATTGTGCGTATAATGAACTTCCAGAGGAAGTGGTGGATATGGCTACAGTTTCGACATCGCAGAAAGCTGCAACACAAAGGGACTTGGGGGTACTTGTGCATGAAACGCAGAAAGCTAGCATACAGATGCAGCAGATGATCAGGAAGGCTCATGGAATCATAGAATTCCTACAGTGTGGAAGCAGGCTATTTGGCCCATCGAGTCCCCACCAACCTTCCGAAGAGCATCAGACCTAGAACCCCCCACCACCACATCCCTGCAACCGTGCATTTCCCATGGCCAATTCACCCACCCAGCATGGGAATCCTCAGATACTCTGGGCAATTTAGCATGGCCAGTTCACCTGACCTCTGTAGGCCTTTGGACTCTCGGAGGAAACCAGCTCATCAGAAGAAACCTATGCAGACACAGGGAGAATGTGCAAGCTCCACACAGACAGTCGCCTAAGGGTGGAATCGAACCTGAGTTCCTGGCACTGTGAGGCAGCAGTGCTGACTTCTGTGCCACTGTGCTACGGGAGTGTTAGCCCTTATTCCAAAGGGGTTGGAGTATAAAGTACAGAAGTCTTATTGCAATTATACAAGGTGCTGGAGACAGAATCTGGAGTACCGTGAGTAGTTTTGGTCCCCTTATTTAAAAAAAGATGTAACTTCATTGGAGGCCGTTCAGGGAAGGTTCATTCAGATGATCCCTGGTATAGAGCGGTTACCTTATGAGCAAAGGCTAAACAGATGGGACTGTGCTTACTAGAATTTAGAAGAATTTGGGGTGATCTCATTGAAAAATATAGCATGCTTAAGTGGCTTAGCAGGGTAAATACTGAGAGGATGTTACCCCTTGTGGGAGAAGCTGGTGCATTGTATCAGAATAAAGGGGTGCCAATTTAAAACTGAGATGAGGAGGAATTTCTATCAGAGGGTTGAGAATTTTTGGATCTCCTTGCCATAGAGAGCTGTGGGAGCAGAGTTTTTGTATATATTTAAAGCTGAGATAAATGTTTGATCACCAGGGAAATCAAGAGTTAAGGGGAATTGGCAGGAAAGTAGATGTAAGGAATGTCGGATCAGCCATAAACTTATTGAATGGCAGAGCAGGCTTGAAGAATCAAAAGGCGTCCTCCTGTTCCTTTTTCTTATGGTCTTAGAGAAAGTGGTTGAGGCCAAAACATTTGTGTTTTGAAGAACAAGGTAGATATAGCTTTTGTGGCGAAAGAGCTCAAGGGAGCATGGGATTAGGGTATTGAGCTCGATGATTGACCATGATCATATTGAATGGCGGTGCAGTTTAGATGAATTAAATGATCTACTCATGCTCCTATGTTCTATGTTTCTGTAATATAAATGACTGATCAGTGGCAAATAGAATTCATTCTAAATGTGAGGTGATGCACTTGGGCAGGACAAAAAAGGCAAGGGAAGACATGGTGAACAGTTGAACCCTGAGGATCAGAGAGACCTTGGTGTACATGTCATCCAGTCTCTTAAGGTCGCAGAACAGGTAGACAGTGGTTAAAAAGGCGTAGAGAATTCTTGTTTTCATTAGTTTAAGAGCAGGGAGGTTACATTGGAACTGTATAAAAAGTTGGGTTAGGTCAATAGATTATTATGTGCAGTTCAAGTATCCACATTATAGGAGGGATGTGATTGCTCTAGAGAAGGTGCAGGGAAGATTCACCAGGATTGCTTGGGTTGGCAAGATTCAGTTATGAAGAGAGATTGGTTAGATTAAGATTGTTTTCCTTGGATCAGAGGAGACGGAGAGTGAAGGGGATATATGATTGAGATGTATAAAATTGAAGGACATGGATAGGGTAGACAGGAAGAAAATTTTCTTCTTGGCAGAGGGATCAATGACCAGGGAGCTTAGATTTCAGGTAAAGGCCAGGAAGTTTCGAGGGGATCTGAGGAAGCTTTTTTTTTTCCACCTGGAGGGTAGTGGGAACCTGGAACTCACTGCCTCCAAGGGTGGTCGAGGCAGAAACCTTCATAAGGTTTAAAATGTACAAATGCTGAAAAATGGGATTAGAATCATTAGATGGTGATTTTTGACCTGTGCAGACTTGATGGGCCATGCTGTAGAGCTCTAATTCTAAGACTCCATGTAGGAGTTTGTCTAAGTTCCTCGTGCTACCACCCCCAACCCTACTTTGACCATGCTTATATTCATTCCAACAGTGTACTTGTGGAGTGTTGCCTGAATATCTTCATCTGTACAGTGAGTAAAGATGAAAAGCAGTGAACTTTGCAGTGCAACAACAACTTAACCATACCATTAACATCCTAAGGCACTTCACAGGAACGTTCTAAAACAAGACTTGATAGCAAAGCATTATATTAGAATAGATAGCATTAATTTTGGAGGTAAATTTTAAGGGACCTCATGGAGGATATGAAACTAGAGAACCGGAGAGGTTTAAGGATGAAATTTCAAAACTCACGCCTTAGCAGTTGTAAGCATGGTTGAGTGAAGGCAATTGGAGATGTCTGAAGAGGTCAGAATTGGAGAAATTCCGATTTCTTGGAGGCTACAGAGAGAGGGAGGTTGGAGTCCGTTGGATTATTTGAGAGATTTCAACATAAGAGAATTTTTCATTCAAGGCATTGCTAGAACTTGGAGCCATTGTAGGTCAGAAAGCACAGGAGTGATGGGTACCTATGCTCCACTGTGGCTGTTAGTAATTTTGCTCCTTCTACATAAATGTGATAAATTAACAATCTCTTTAGTACAGCTTCTATTGGAGATTTTTTTTGGAAATCAAAATATGTTGTATCTAACGAAGTGGTCTACGATTTCCATTGATCATCACTTGCAGACAAGGTTGTGTTGACGTTTTCATTGCTGTATGCTAATTTTAGTCGCAAACACTTTTTTATGTGCTATACAGATAAGTGTATATTTATTTCCTTAGATACCAAATTTTGTTAAGGTAAAGTATTTAATAATCAAAAGACTGACTCAGCATTTCATCGTAAGTTTCTTCCCAACAAATGCAAATAAAAAGATAAACTGCATATGCGTGCACTATGTGAAAAAAAATAGAAGCTTATATTAATATAATACCTTTCATGACCATCAGATCTTTCAATGTGCCTTGCAGGCAATGAAATGCTTCTGATGTGAAGTCCCTGTAATGCATGAAATAATAGAACCAGTTTTCACACAGCAAGCTGTTGCCAGCTTCAATGTTATAATGACATGGCAATCTATTTTGTGATGTCAACTGAGGAATAAATATTGCTCTGGACACCAGAATTAAGTGACACTGTGTAGATAATTAAGATCATATGCCAAAGGTCATCGTCTCATTCTTGTTTCTAAAATTTATTAATATAAGCCGCAGTTAGTCACATTTGAGTTCTCAGTTAGCCAGTAATATCACATTGAATTCCATTTGCCAAAATTTTGTAAATTTCTCTGAATTTGTTTGTTCCTTTATAACTTTCTCTTACCGTCTGGTTAATTCAATGTATCTCTTAATGTCACCTATAAATGTGGATAAACAGCTTTATTCCTCCATTCTAGATTATTAGTATTTATGAAAGAAAAGTATAGATCCCAGGAGAATCCTGTATGACACACACTTGGTTTCTTATATCCTGAACCAATTCCTAGAATTTCTTCCGTCCCATCCTCTTTCAGTTTGCTAATAATTTTTTTAAGCAAATATTTCAAATGCCTTCCAGAGGTACATTTAGGCAGTATCCATAGACGCTTTTTTAGCTACAGTAGGAGAAATTGATTCAAAAATTTAAACTACATTAGTCTTGCCTCCATTACCACTCTAAAATCCAAACTGACAATCAGTTCAGACTTGTCTAATTGCTCTGCCACCGTCATTTATGATGAGGCCATGGAAGTCCTTTATAATTAGTAAATCACAGGTCGGTAGTCATCTGGTTTCTTTCATCCCCCCCTTCTTGGGTAATGGGGTGATTTCTCATTTGGAATCAAGTCCTTAGCCTAAAAATGATTCTGCTTTGAGGTTGGTAAGTACAGATCTGTTGGTTTCTGTTCTGTATTGAGTTATAATGTTGACTTTGGTTTCGACAAAGATTTTTGCTTTGACTTACAGGCAGATTGTCAGGTTGATGTCGTCCGACAGCATTTCTATGAAGTGTCACTGGAATACGTATTCAGAGTGCATGAAGTGCAAGAACGAAAGATGTTTGAGTTTGTGGAACCAGTAGGTGAACGGTTTAAATTACACTGGCTTATGGTACTGACTGACTGACTGCAGGATTAATATATCTCTTAAATGTCTGCGTTCGAGGTTGATAGTATGCAACAATTCTAAACTAACGGAACTTGTGGTTCTACCAGTCACCTGATTCAAATGAATGTTCCAAATTTGAATGTCAGTTTATCGCCAACTTTCAATTTCCATTCATTTGTACCTTGTTAATTTACATGTCTGTGTTTCTTCTGTGATATGTTAGTATTTTTGTTATCGAATCTTGCTGATTTTGAAGTTCATATCTAGCAATTTTACAGATATATGCATCCAGCCTTTGAGAACCTGGTGCTCTGTTCAGTCTCTCGGATTACATGGATTACTTTCCATTTAGAGTTGTGATAATGTTTATTGCTGCTTAATGAGCCATTAAATTGAGGGTACATTGTTCAATATTACATTAACTGGATACTATGATTCCTTGAAT